ACTCACAAGCAAGAAAAATTAAAAAGGAAACTTTCACTTGATAGCCAGTTTTTAAAATGCGCTCAAGAAGACTTGCAATTCAAAGAGCAAGTATTAGACAAGATGGACCATATGGAGAAGGGTTACTCTGACAACATGAAGTCACTCTCTTCTAATGTTGAGAAACTCACCAATTTTATTTCTGATTTTTTTTCTGAATACAAGAGTAGTTTTTTCTGAAGACCGACAGCCATACATGTCTCCCATAAACCCACAGTACTATTACCATCAACAAATTCCAATTGGATACTCTAACACTCCCCCCCCCACCTGATGAACACATCAAGTCAAAGCAATACAAACTATACACAGTTTGAGTTCATAGATAATGATCATGGCCATGGGCAACATTGAACTTGTTACCTTTGAGTAACTTTATGAATCAAAGGAAGGTTAATGTTGTTTCTTGATATTGATGCTGTTGTTTCTACTGTTTCTTGATATTATTTTGATTGTTGAATAAGCACTGTGATTTCATTGTTAGTTATATATTTTTAGAGACTTCACATAAATGTTATTTAAGGTTTACTAATAACAACTAAAGTGGGTTAATAATAATTGTCTGACATGCCCACTGGTGAGTAAAAAATATATAAACAAGAGTGGCACTGTCTAAAATTAACTCTTTAGAGTCAACTTATGCCCAAGCCAAGTAACTCAGTTGATGGATCTAAATATTCTGTCAGGACTCTCCTGACACGTTTCCCTTCAGTTTTATTGCAGAAACCTCTGTAACCAGTTGGCTGGCTGAACATCTTTCTCATATGCCAATATACCAATGTTTTAAATTGGAGTTTTTAAAATATTACCATGACATATTTGTAAATTAATTCAAACCCTTGTAAATATATCGATATATAGTATATTACTAAGAAGTGTAAATTAGAGCTGAAAAGCCTTTCGAGGAGCTTCTAATAAATGATGTATGTATGTATGTATATGCAATTGCAGCAGCAACCTGATATTGTGAAATGATTTCATTGTTACATTCACAGTAGTTGTGCAAAACAAAACAGGCATAGATCACATTGGGGACCTCTTCTAAGTTTATGTCCATAAGTTTTTGCAATATACCAAATCTTGCTTTCAGGTGAACAAATGAGCATTCAATCACCATCCTTGCTCTGCATAATGACAGCCCAAAGTATTGTTTCTGTGCAGTTGTCCCACCTGAAGAATATTCCTTCATTACATGAGGTAGCAGTGGGTAGGCAGGATCAGCAATAAGAAAAACTGGAATAGATTCTTCCCCTTCAACAATTTCTCTTGGCATTGCAGGAATTGTTCCATTTTTAAAGTTTATAAACGAATTTGCAAAAACCCTGGCATTATGTACGCGGCCTAACCATTTCATGTTGACATTAAAAAAATTGGTATTTGTAGTTGCAGATGGCTTGGACATTTAAACTGTACCTTTGTTTTCTGTTTATGAATTCAGATGACTTTATTGATGGTTGTTTGATGTCAATATGGGTGCCATCGCTTGCCCCAAGGCACTGTGGAATAATGTGGGCCTTCTGGAATTCTGTAACTAACTCAGTCACTTCTGCTTCAGTGAAAGGAGGCTTTATATAGACGGGTCCCAAATACTTAGTAATTGCAATCTAACAATCTTCGACACAACTTGTGTCGAGAGACCAAATGCATTGGCAGTCTTTCTCATTCGACCTTTGTTGCTCAAATAGTACAAAGTACATGCTACTTTCTTCACCATGCCTACTGGCTGTCTCATTTGTGTGGATTTGCCCTCAATATACCGTCTGAGTTCCTCACTGATATTAATTAAGGAAGACAGAGTCATCCGGAAATTCTCTTTCCATTCTTCTTGTAGCATTGAGTTGGACTCAAAGTTATCTCACCAGTTGCTCATTCGTCCTGGCCAAACCCAAAATCTTCGCGGCCTTCTCTTTTTTTTTATGTGAAACCCGACACATGTTGGAGAAAAGTGGAGTAACGCCTTCAAAAAACTCATTCGTCCTGAATGGGTTAACATGAGATGGTTAATTAATAAGAGATTTAGCTGCAAACATGCAACTAAGTTGCCAGGCAATCCGCCATGTTTGATTTTTGGGGAAATATTATGTATCGTTTTTATGACTCCGTTTTCGTAGCGTTTTTGATCGTCCGCACTAAAACAATATGTATGTTTTCAAATCAATGCATTTTTGTTGAAAACGCTCATCGTTTTTGCTCGTTTGAGTGTGGACGGAAGGCCAAAACGCATCGAAAAGAAGAGAAAACAGTGTTTGTATTTAACAAAATATATTCACAAATTAACCATTCAACGTACCGACGGGTGTCAACATTCAAAAGGCAGATGAAATTGACGAAGTCATAAAATCGTTTTACGCAAATATCAAAAAGGATGAAAAAAGTTCAATAGGATACAAAGTCGGATGCATTGAAAAAGAACTACTTGAGAAACTCAATATCCTGTGTATCAATTTGGAAATCTTTGGATGTCCAAAACCAAGCGATCACATCCCAGGGTTGCTCGCTGGGATGAAAGACCTCTCGTGGCTAGAAACGTGTGGAAACCACATCGAAAATGACAATTATAAACATTGCTCAAAGCCGGAACTGAAAATCTTTAATAAATAGATGGAAACTTACAAACAATCCTTAGAATATTGGCTATGTAATCTAATTGGCTATGTAATCTAATTGGCTATGTAATCTAATCTAATTGTACCTTCCCATCTTTAATGTTCATGAGCTCCAGCTCTTTGCAGTAAAACGTTTTTCAGATGCAAAATCCATCCATGTCCATCAGACCCACGATATTTTGCATCTTTATATTTGTGTGCGTTTTTCAAAAGCGTTAATATGTTTTTTTTATAGTTTTTTTCACCCCATATTGACACGTGTTTTTTATTATGTTTTTTATAGCACATGTTTTTATTTATTAACAGGTGTTTTTATTTTTGTTCTAAAATTTGTTCGTAGATGTCCGCCTTTAAATTGTGTGCGATGATGGGTTCTTTTTTATCTATCCCCTTTTTTCGTTCTAAAACTAGTGTTACGAAAGGCTTTATTGTGTTTAGAGATATGCATATAAAAATAGCTGTAAAAATAGGAATATCAATAGCATGACAGGGATTAGTGAATGATTTTTGCCACAAGAAGCCTGAGTAAATATAATTTTCAGCAATTAGCAAACATTATCGCCTCTCCCTTTCATGTATGACATATCATGGGTTTAAATAAGTAATAAGGTAAAAATACCTCTCATAACTTATACCTGGATAAACAGTCTTAAGTCGTCACTTGTCTTAATTGTTGCACTTTTTTAAAATAAAAATTAGAATATGTTATTTCTCGGATTATGTTTTTTCTTATACAAAAATACATTTTGGTCGTATTTATAGATAAAAACAGATATTGATGCTTAGAATCATGTAGTTTTAATATTTTTTATATTTCACCACGCATCAACAAGCAACTCGAGCTCGCATGTATATGCATAATTAGCCTCCTTTGCAGGCAACTCTGGTATCAAAAACTGTTCGAAGTTAATGCACCTCCGCAGGCAACTCTGGTATAAAAAATTGTTCAAAGTCAACGCACGCACCGGGCACGCACCATGGCTTCGCTTGCCGGGGGGGGGAAGAAAAATTAGGAGAGTTGCCTGCCAAATCCCAACAGAATTTTGACGGTCTGTGCATATCTCATTGCGCATGACAAACTCTTTTTACAGGGGGTATAGTGAGTAAATTTGTCCCTTCAAAAATTGCAAATGGCGTTACGCGAGGTGTGTTTCACTGAAGAAGAGAAGAGAATAATTCAGGAAGCTTTGACTTTTGTGGGGCCTTTAAATCCAAGTTGCTACTCAACTTTCAAGCTGAGTTGCTCTGGCTTAAAAAAACCACTAGAAGCTAGTTCGCAGAAAGAAGTTGCCACAAAATTCGGGCACTGCTTTTTTTCAGTAAAGTCAACTATCATTTACACCAAAGAAAGTCCTTTAACTTTCCAGTGTGAAAACGTAGAAAATGGGGAAACGATAGAGTATAAAGGTTATGTAAGTGTTAGTGACAAAGAGCGAAAGCCTCTGATTGTAACCAGCAGAATTTTGAAAAGAGTTACGAGCGATTTAACAAGTCCGAGCGATGAAGCAGCTGATAGACATAGAAATGTGAGTCAATCGAATGTTCATACACTTGAACATGAAGATGATGATGATGAAATGAGTGGAGGTATTGGTACGACTGTAGATGAGATAATTGAAACAACTTTGCATCAGTATTTTTGCTACCCAAATTTTAGACCTCTTCAAAGAGATATTATCAAGGCAACACTCAGTGGGAAAAACGTGCTGGGAATATTATGCACTGGCAGTGGGAAATCTCTCAATTTCCTTCTTCCTGCAGTTCTGTCTAGTGCACCAACTTTTGTTGTTGTACCAACTACAGCCCTTATTGATGACATGTTAGTACGCTGTCACAACCTTAACATTACATACAAATTTACTGGTTCTACACCAAAAGAGCACCATAAATCTCAGCTGGTAAATTTTAATTCATACAAAGTTATTTTTGCTACACCAGAAATGATTGAGGGAGACCTTCTGGATAAGATAAAGTCTTCCAAAGTGGAGAGATTAGTCTTTGATGAGGCTCATAGAATAACAACATGGGGAAAACACTTTCCGTCCAGTTTACAAAGTAATATGTAAACAACTCAGTAAGTTACTGACCCCTAAGTTGCTACTTAGTGCGACAGTACCAGCTAATTGTCAAAAAGAACTATTAGATATATTTGGAACTTTTATGGTCATACAACATACTGTCTTCAGGGAAAATTTGGTACTTGAAGTTGAAGACACACCAAGTGGCCCAAAATTTTATGACCTGTTAGCATCTTTCATTAAGGAGCATAAAGGTTGTGGCATTGTGTATTGTGTTTTTACATCAGATGTAACCAAGATACATGCAGAAATGATAAAGAGGGGCATAAATTGTGCCATGTATCATGGTCAGCTCTCGGATGATGTTAAACTGGCAAACTTTAACAAGTGGAACAGTGGTGAGTCATCTGCAATGATTGCAAATTCAGGTTTTGGACTAGGAATTGACAAATCCGATGTTAGGTTAGTTGAAATTTAATGGATTAAATTATGAAAGGATATGAGAAGTTACAAGGGAATGTCTCTAGTGAGTGAAAATAGTCATTGTATATTCCATTGAATATTTCATTAATATATTTAAATACTATTTTAGATATGTGGTTCATGCGAAGGTACCACCAACCATTGAGGATTACTATCAGCAATGTGGTAGAGCTGGTCAGGATGGGCAAGAATCGGTCTGCTGTATGTTTTATAGCCCTACTGATAAGACAGCCTTATTGCGTATGTTTCACCAGCAAAATTTGTTTGAGAAACAAACAAAACACCTGAATGATCTGATAATTCTATTGGAAGATCTTGTTCAATGTAGACACAAGGATATAATGACCTACTATGGTGAAGAGCATGATGGATTCATGTGTGGTAGAAGTTGTGATAACTGTAGAAATTGTGGACATTTTATTGTAACTGATGGTTCCTCTGATGCCATGAAAGTTGTACAAGCTGTCATGGAATTGACAGGGAAAGAAATAACTTTTAACATCTTAAAGTTGTTCTTGGCTGGAAGCAATCAAAAGTCAATCAAGGACAAAAATTTGGATACTTTTTCCACATTTGGTGCCCTAAAGAAACAATTCACTCTTGTAGTGTTGCTCCAAAAATTTTTAAAGTTTGCTAATTTATCATGATGTTTTACATGAAACTGTCACATTTAGGAGAAACAGTATTTCTGTTGCTATTACACTAGGTCCAAATGCTCACAAGGTGATTGATCATAAACTGTACATTCCTAAATTTGCAAAGCTATAAACTAACTATTGTATGTAGAAATCCTGCTACAGGGATGTGTAGGTACCAATTTGAATTATAATTTAGAAGAGTATGTTATCCACCCAGTGGTTGGCAACCACTTGAGTAATTGGATAACCTACTCTTTCAACTCATATATGTTAATGGTTTGTTAGAAGAATGAAGGATTATAATCAAATATTAACATTTTGACAAAGTCTTCATATCTTCCATCTGGAGGGCAACACTGACTTCTTTTTGACAAAGCGCACGGTAGGCTGCTCCATTCTTACCCCTTGAACTTCGCTTTGGTCTCACTTGCCACGTCTCTTAATCGCTCTTCAAGGCCTTGAGAATCGTCCCTTACCTTAAAGCCAGTTTCTTCAAAGAGGAAAGTATTAAAAATACTAATATAGCTGCATGGAATCTGCTTCGACAAAGCTTCCTGCCGAGCACAACACCATTCACGAACGCACTCGTATGGCAAGTGAGCTGTTAAAATTATATTTTTCTCTGCAATTTTTTTGCGACAAACATATTCTAGCCAGTGGTTGCTATTTACATGAACATAGCACTTGAAACATTCAAATTTTAGCTTTTTAATTATATTCTCTGACAGAATATACAACATATTTTTGCCAGTTCAGTCTAGAGAGTATTTTCCGTTGTTTAAGTCAGCAGGGGGTCTTGCACAATGGGCAACTTCGCTGACCTATTCGCTGAGGATTCAATGCTGTGTTCAGCTTGTCGCTAGGCAATGACAACAGCATTAGAAAGAGCTTGTTTTGCTCTATATTTTGGTACCAAATGTCGCATATTGTGTTCTAAATTTCGGGTTGTATGTCTACAGTAAAGTTCGCTGTTTCAGATTAAATCATGGGTCCGTTTGTGTTTTATTCGCTCAATGTTAATGTATTTAAAAATCGAAAAAGCAGGGCTGTTATTCATCGTACGAATTTCAAAGATGGCTGACAAAGCAGAGAAATTACTCGTTTTATCCAAACGATTTCGGCAACTGCTGATTGTCATCTATAGAATACGAAGGAGAGGTTTAAAGAATAGTTTCTGGAATATCTTGTGTTTCTATTATCAACAATATAAGGTAAATTTTGACCATATATTTGCGAAAATCAGAGTCTGTATATCTCCTATTGACCTGTTGTTTTGTTCAAGCATTCGACGTTAATGACCACATGCAATTTCCATTTTGGCAAATAATCCATTATGCATTAGTATCTACTTATTTTTGAATTTGTATATTTTCCATACACTAAACATTGGATTTTGATCGCTATTTTGAGTAGAATTTTTGCGCACATGTACAAGAAATGTCTGTCATTGCTGGCCAATGAGATGTATAGATATATAGATATATAGGTGTATAGATGTATAGATATATACAGTGTGTATAGAAAAAATTCGAATCCAACTTTGACGAGCTGCTGTGTATGAAATACTAAAGTAAACAATACAATTTTTATATGACAACAAAGATTAGGTTATTTAGTTTACGATTATACCGTTCTTATATCGACACGACCAAAACTGGCCAAGTTATCGTCTTTTAAAAATTGTTGCTCGAAACTGTTGCTCGAGATTATAGTTTTTTCTTAATTTGGAGCAAGCGTCATAGACATAGGTTTTTAGAAGGCTAGAGCACACGAAAAATTTCAAATTTAGGGTCCTGGAAATTTGATATTGTTTCGAAAAAACAATTTGTAACAAGAAATTTTTTATTTGAACTTTGACTAATTTTAATTTGACTATGTGTACGGACTGATTTAAAATTCTATTATAAGTACAATACCCTAACAACAATAGACGAAATCTGTGATATCTCAGACTTGATTTTCCGGCGTGAGATCGTTTTTTACGCAAATATACGTGAGTCTTACGCCTAATCTGTGAGACTTGGCAACATTGTTCATAGGTAGCCCAGATATCTCTTTTCACTCAGTGCTCGAGTACATTGTTTATGTGCACAGTCACTGCACTGATTACTGTAATATACATTGATATTAAATTATTATATATTGTAATATATATAAAAATATATAACAGTAAACAATGTACTCAGGGACTAAGTGAAAACAGATATCAGGGCTAACTATGGTATATTATGTTGTACATACATTGATGATAAGCCAGTCTCCACATCTAATGCAGTGGTCTCTTTTGGGTCTGGTACATCCATTTGGCTTGTACTACTGTATAAAATTGATAAAATTATTACATGTCTGTTTACAGTGTTTAATGCCAGACTTTACTTGACAAGAAGGGAGTGCTGGCAATTGGCAATTGCAGCATGGGTGACCTTACATTTTAGAATCTATAAATATCATATCTTCACAAATCTTGCTTTTTCCACAATATTGTAAATGCTGAATGCAAAAATATCAAGTGGTTGTTACTTACCCAGTTAAACCTGTATGCTCATGTCCACTTTTTGTCCGCTTCGCCTCTGGTCATATTGCTTTAACCGGCTCTCTTAAACAAGCTGACAAACTTGGACTCTATAATTAAAAGTAAAATTTGTATATTTACTTAACAAATAGTCAACAAATAAATATTCAACAAATATAATACATATTCTATACAACAATGGCAATACTTCTACAATTACCAAAGTTTACATATGTAATGAAAAGCAAGAAGGATGCATCAGATAGAGTTTCAAATTTTGCCTTTACTCGCCTCACATTAACACTTTACTTTACCTTCTTTTGAAAGCACTTCCCCAGTCTCTGAAAAGCCACTACACAGCACCTGTGCACCAAACCCTTCTTCATCCTCAGCACTGGATGTTGAACAAGGTGGTATAGCATGGCAGGGTTTTTTGCATACTTTGCAAAGTTGACTTCCAAATTCATTTTTAACAGGAAACACAAACTACAATTAGAAAAAAAATATATATATGTATATCTTTTATGTCCGACCCCTTTCAGTAATTCAGTATGCAGGGTAATTCAACATAAGTTCAGGCAGTAATTCAACATAAGTTCCTTATCTAGTTTATTAGCATTCAGCCCTTACCTTGTTCAACTTTAACTGTCTGCATCTCTGCCATCTTTTATCTTTATATTTACTGTGAAACTAAAACACAAGAGAAAATGTAGTAGGCTACCCCTACTTTGCCAACTTTGGCATGTTTTATAATTATTTATTATTATTAGTGCATTCAGCCTTTCATGCTTTGCCCTTGTATGTTTTGATATATATAAAAAAACACATTTTAAAACAGGGGTGGATCCAGCATATTTGGTGACTGATGCTAAAAACCTAAGATGTCACCCGTTAGGGTGAAAATTTTGAAATTAGATCCTCGGAAATGCGATTTCCAGCATTCTGAGCGAAGTTTTAATGCAAATTGTATATCGAAAAAATGACCGACTTTTAAAAAAATGTTATGAAATATTTTAGTTTATTACCTACATAAACTAGAATATTTCACTGGTATGATCACCAAACATAACATTTATGTTTTGTCTAATTACAAACGAAATATAATTGAACTTACCTCTTCTCCACAACAACACAAATAAAGTACATATACAGTACCTATATACACCAACTTCTGCCGTTTATTCCGCGAATTTGTGAATCGTAATGGAAGAAGAGGCATAACCAAATTTTTACTGCACATATTAAAAGCAGTGAAAACCTGACCATACCCCCACTGCCATGTTGGGCGAATTGGCATTAGTGGCAGGACATCATGTGGTGTGACAACGGAATCAATAAATTCAATGCAGGCACTAGAAAATGTTCCAATTTAAGTTTCAAGATTAGGCGATGTTCCCCAAGAGCAGCAGGATAAAGTATAGATATTCAATGCAGTTCACTTGAAAATGTTCCAATTTAGGTAGATTTTATAAAGTTAAGTTTTAAGATAAGGCGATGTTCTCCAACAGCAGCAGGATAAAGTATAGATATTCAATGCAGTTCACTTGAAAATGTTCCAATTTAGGTTGATTTTATAAAGTTAAGTTTTAAGATAATGTGATGTTCTCCAACAGCAGCAGGATAACGTATAGATATTCAATGCAGTTCACTTGAAAATGTTCCAATTTAGGTAGATTTTATAAAGTTAAGTTTTAAGATAAAGCGATGTTCTCCAACAACAGCAGGATAAAGTATAGATATTCAATGCAGTTCACTTGAAAATGTTCCAATTTATGTTGATTTTATAAAGTTAAGTTTTAAGATAATGTGATGTTCTCCAACAGCAGCAGGATAACGTATAGATATTCAATGCAGTTCACTTGAAAATGTTCCAATTTAGGTAGATTTTATAAAGTTAAGTTTTAAGATTTGGTGATGTTCTCCAACAGCAGCAGGATAAAGTATAGATACTCAATGCAGTTCAATTGAAAATGTTCCAATTTAGGTTGATTTTATAAAGTTAAGTTTTAAGATTAGGCGATGTTCTCCAACAGCAGCAGGATAAAGTATAAATATTCAATGCAGTTCAATTGAAAATGTTCCAATTTAGGTTGATTTTATAAAGTTAAGTTTCAAGATTAGGCGATGTTCTCCAAGAGCAGCAGGATAAAGTATAGATATTCAATGCAGTTCACTTGAAAATGTTCCAATTTAGGTTGATTTTATAAAGTTAAGTTTTAAGATAAGGCGATGTTCTCCAACAGCAGCAGGATAAAGTATAGATATTCAATGCAGTTCAATTGAAAATGTTCCAAATTTAGGTTGATTTTATAAAGTTAAGTTTTAAGATTTGGCAATGTTCTCCAACAGCAGCGGTATAAAGTATAGATATTCAATGCAGTTCAATTGAAAATGTTCCAATTTAGGTTGATTTTATAAAGTTAAGTTTCAAGATTAGGCGACGTTCCCAAGAGCAGCAGGATAAAGTGTACATATTCAATGCAGTGTTTAATTTCAGGTATGCTTCTCTTCATTATCATCAAATATGTCCAAAAACTGCATTCGGGTAGGATTTTGTCTTGCAAAAGAATTGATCACTTCGTCAACATTGACACCGAGGTCATCATTTATATGCATCAAGGCTAACCCATTCAATCTCTCATTCGTCATTGTGCTCCTTAACCATGTCTTCATGCGACGCAAAGCCGAGACGGAACGCTCAAATTCACAGGTGGTGACAGGTATAACTGCTAATATTTTAAGGGAAACAAAAATGTTTGGAAATGCAAGTTCATTGCAGTTTCTTAAAGTATCGGCGATGTTATCGTATTCCACTTTTTCGTGCCCTTTCTTCCAGCTGGTTTCCCACAACTCTAACTCTGCATGGATCGCCCTAAAGTTAGGCATATCATCGCGATAAGCGGACACAAATTTCATGAACTCGGTCTTCCAATTTATTCCCTTACAATGAAGAAAATTGCGAGGAAGTATATAAAAACCATTGTAGAGGTTGCACATTTCTGAAGGAAACCGATATTCAATCTCCGCGATGACGTGATCAATAAGTGGAATGGTTACTGTTAATCTGTAGTAATCACATGCTGTACTGGTAGGATGATTATCATGTTTCGTTTGAGCTTTACATACCCGGGGAAAACACTCAGCCACGTCGAGGTTATTAGCTAATGCTAACAGCTTGTCGTAGTATTCATTGTGGAATGAATCTACAGAGGCACGTAGTTTTGCCATTTCATCCTTTAAAAGGTTAATCTGTTTTATTGACTCCGCAATATCGATTTTTTTCTTTTGTAATTGGACTGTCAATGACAAAGTATGATCCAGAACATGTTGGGTGATAACGAGAGCAGCCATAAATTCAAACTTCTCCACGTTACGAAAATGAGACTGTGCGTCACTAGCTGATCTGAGAAATGGCTCTTCCTGCGATCCTCCAGACTGCATAAAATTGAGTGTTTCGTAGATAACTTCGAATGCATCCAGAAAACCATCGAGGGAAGTTATTCGTTCTACCCATCGTGTCGTGGAAGGCTTTGCGAGCTTGTTACGGGTTAAACCAAACTCTTTCATCTTTTTACTTAGATACTGCGAGCGGATAGGGGAACTGCTAAAAAAGCTGGCGATCTTTTGTGCCTGACTCAACATATTTTTCACTGGGAGAATTGAACACGCTTTGGCAACGATGACTGGAGCAATGAACATACAACGCCTTTGAGTTTTTCTCTAATATTCTCCCAGAAACACCTTTTACCTGGCTAGACATAGCACTAGCACCGTCATATCCCTGGCCTCGACAATTTTCAAGGGGAAGCCCGACATCTTCAAGTGTACCTTCAACATTATTCGCCAATGCGAGACCAGTCATACCTTCTTGGCAGTCGACAAACCTAATGAATCTTTCGTTGATTTCTTTATCACCGTCAACATACCGCAAAACGATTGGCATTTGTTCCTTGTTACTACAATCAGCTGCCTCATCTACGAGAACCGAGTAAAATGGAGAATTGCTGTTGTTTATCTCCAAAATAATTTGGCTTTCAATTTGTTTACCAGAGATCTTGACCAGCTTATTTTGTACAGTCTTGGAGCGGTACGTGGCATTCTTCTTTGCATTCTTAAAATGATCGGCAAGAACCTTATCACCACCACTAACTCTGTAATTTAAAAACGCCTGAAAATTGCCCGGATTGGTGGAAGAGTAATGCTGTGAATCATCTTGATGTCCTCTCAAAGCAATATGTTGTCGGCCAGCCAGAACAACTGTCTCAACCATTGCACATAATATCTTTCTATTATAAGCAATTCGCTCACTTCTCAAGTTGTCAGCCTGCTCATCTATTCCTTTCGTTTCCCCCGACATTACGCTGTTGAAGTGTGTCAACCTGAGCATGGAATGGTGATGAAATATAGAATGTTTGTCGTGGTCGTCAAGTCTTTTTGCAGCACTTTGCCAGTTAGTTAATGGCTCCTAAAAAAGATTGGTAAGCTTCGAGCCATTATGACCTACTTCTTTACCAAAAAGCACACAACATAGGCAAAATGCACTGTCGTAAAGCCTAGAATAGCACAACCACGACCAGCGACTGAACCACTGAAAAGAAAACTTGCGGCGATTTGGCTTCATTGGGTTAGAACCAAACTTACGAAAAGGGAAAATATATGAAGAAGGTGGACACCAATGATTCTTTATTATATTAAATTTAGTGTCATCATTAATCTCATTGGCAGTCCCAACAAAGTTGCCAATGCCTAAAGGATCAACATCACCAGAGTTTTCAGCTTTTATTTTTTTGCAAAATGCCTGTCCACCAAGATTATGCAAACGCTTAACCGGCCCTAAAATGACCAAGATATGACCAGATTCAGTCTTTCTTTCAAGTATTAATAAATGATAATGAAATGGTAAAACCCGCTATATTTCACATAGCACATTGCACAATATGGCTGGGGAAGGGCAGTTTATCATATCACACCTTTACCTATAATGGATTTGTTCATTACTGTAATCTATATTATTACTGTACAGGAAAATACATACCACTTTTTGGTTTTCCTGCTGCTGTTGGAGAATTTGAACTCAATTTTCCTGCTGTTAAAAATTTGTTCAGACCAAACATTTTCTGGTTCATTCCAGTATCTACACATATTTAAAATTTTAAATACATTAGGTAGTGTACATACTTACCATAACCCACTAAGTCCTGATACAATACAATACACTACATGTCTGTGTTGTGTTCTTGTATACAATGTAAAATATTCCTAACCTGTATCCACTAATCCATCTTTTTTGACTACCTCTTTCTCAGCCCCTGTCAAATAATGCAGGCAGCCCATTTAAAATTTATCATAATGTCACTGAATCAGTCTAAGGAGAGTGGGAGACATTGATGATAGGAAGGCATGTAGGAGTTTCTTAGATTTTTCAAAGGCATACCTTGAGAGACTGTATCTCCTTTCCCTGATTTTTTCAGAAGATCAGTAATTTTAGGTTGCCCCTTGGAAACTTTGTTCTGTTGTGAGACCTCAGTTTTAGCATTACTTCCTCTGGGTTGAAATTGAATACGTGGGACAAAATGGTTTGGTTGAAAGGTTGTATCTAAACCAGGAAGAGTCGTAATACCATCAGTTGACCACAAAAAGATGAGTTGGACATCTTCAACAGATTTTCCTTTAAATAATGCATGTACTGCTCTTGGAGAGATTTTGCCATTCAAAAACTTAGAATACTTAGTCTCTTTGCCAATATTCTCTGGGTAAACAGTAGTGATGTCCATTCCAGTCACAGTTGCCAAAGCAAACATACAGAGAAAGGAAGAAAAGGTACCATTCACTGCATTCCGTAATGCCTCTCGAGTAACAACTACAGCTCTAGTAGAAGGATCCATTCTGTCATAACCATCAGCCAAAGCACCATCAGAAGCAGTTGCAGAAAAAGCAGAATTCTCAGTATGAAAGATATGAGACTTCTCTTTAACATAAGGATGGAATGCATAAAACTGTTGATTGGTGAATAGCTCTATGCTGGTCAAGTCTCACAATAAGCACCAGAGGTCCTCTTTTCCACAGAGGAGTTTTGAGCAGGCTCTGTAAAGGCAATTACCATCACCTCTAGTTCTAGGAAAATTTTGATAATTATTGAAATACTGAAGTCAGTTTTCAAACATCCAGTTATGACATTGGCCTATCTGGACCTTCCCCTTAAACTACAGGGTAACAGTCTAACAGAAGGTAAACCCCCTTAAATCCCCTTAAACTACAGGATAACAGAGTCCCTGATGGGCTAATTGGGCTACAAAAATATGAAAAAAATGTCATAAAAATTCAGGGGCAACAGGGACTGTGCTGAATGCTGATTGTGCATCTACCTCAAATTACCTATTAAGAAGTGGGAACTTTCAAGGGTTGCATGAAAAATTTCACTCTAGTAATTTTTTATGTACTTCATGTAATAGCAGCAATATGTAGTATTAGGTTATTAGGCTCAAGCCAAAGGGCTCAAGCATATGCGCTATTTTAGTATTTTGTAATATGTAAATTTATGCAAATTTCAGCATTTCACAGAATGCTATTATTTGCGAGTATGAATGAAATAATGACAAAGTTAACGCGTAACGGCCAAAACTTACTTCAGTGCTCGCCGTTCGCCACTTTGCCACACATTTGTAATATGTCTGGGAACAAGTAGCTCGGCATAAAGATCCCTTACAGGTGTTCCACTTCAAAATGGATCCCATTTTTTCGCTTGTAAAATTAACGAAGAAGCTTTCATCTCACATTTCCTTCTTACTGCTTCGATTTCGCCAGCTTTATTATCTCGAAACAACGAACAAAGATCGTATTTTATTTGCATACTTTCCGCCATGATGACTCAAGTAACGTGCGTACAATGTCGCATGCAAAGTATCGCGATTGTCCACGCATTATGGATTTGCGCATCAGTCAAACGCGATATTTTGGATCGCGGGCTAAACGCATCAGTCAGCATCCATTTCCCAACGTTGCGTATGCACAAAAACAATAGTTTTTATGACGTTGCGTTGGGGAAACTCGGCCAAAGGGACTCGGGACTGTTGCGCCACTGATGCGCATTTCTCCCTAATATTACGTAGTGATGCACTCTTTTCCCAATGTTACGTAAACGCGTCCACTGACCGTAATATGATAATGCATAAGAGTCAGAGTGGATGCATAATCGACATATTTGGGGATATAATGTCGCGACAACCAAACGTACAACGAGAGAAAGGCGAAATTTTCATTTAAAATTTCAAACATCGTCTCGCTTTGCCTTGTTTGGATTTATTAACAATCATTTTTAGTTTTTTACGAATTTTAGGAGCGTGTAACCCGAAAAGAGAGTAAATAATATACTTTATTAGAGATTTTTAGAAAATTCCATATTTATTGCAATTTTCCATATTTAGTGTTCAATTATTATGCTCGTGAAATTTTGACTGATGCATTCGCATCAGTCGCATCAGTCTGGATCCACCCCTGTTTTAAAACATTGCGAAAACTTTTCCCTGTTTTCGAGTTTTCGATCATCTTCGTAATGTTCTTTTTACTATTTTTAACAGCACACACAGTTAAATTTCGAGTGCAGTAAAATGAAGGAATGAGGATGCAATTAGGCTGTCAAAGACATGCATTTGAATTGTACTTTGTGTCTAAATCAATAAATATTTTTATAACATTGAAGTGATTAAACTAAAAAATATATACGCTAAAAATACATAAGAGTAAGAGTTAAGAAGACAGTACACAGCATCTGTTGTCTGTGAAATCTGAGCCTCAGAGCATCTTGACTGAACACTTGCAGCTCGCTTGCCAGTTGCATAATCATAATCCTCTATCAGTCTATATATTTTTATATAATTCGTATTTAATATTTATAAATTTATAACAGTAAAAGACTTTAAAGCTATTTTTTTGACGAACGCTAACGCGCCCAAGCCCACGGCGGTTTGTCATTTGTGAGCCGTGAGTGTATTATATTATTAAAGCCAAAACTCACCGACGCAATTTGACGATGAAGCTATGAAAGGAAGTTTTAATAAATATGTAGTCCAAATAATTCAAAATGTTATTTATAGTCCAAATAATTCAAAATGTTATTTATAATGCTTTTGAAAAAGCTAAACAAGGAATCAAGAATAACAGTTTTCGAACAGAGAACATGCTGCCGCTGTAAACGGGCGCTGTTTCATCAAACGGGCGCTGTTTCATCAAACGGGCACGGTTGACATGTCTGGTGTGTCTTGGCCTTAAAAATTTCCATAGGCGCACTAAAAATATTAATATAATAATATAAGAACAAAACATAGTGTCACACACTCACCTAGACAAATTGAAGGGCTGTACTCACAAGATAAAGATGAATTCCACGGGAAAAGTACTCAATAGAAGCGTGAAAGTTGAAATATCGATAAACAACAGTGTATGGCTTGAAAACTCAGAGCAAAAGAGCGTGATACAAGAGCTTAAAAAAAATTGGTTAATTGGCATATTCCTATTGGCTAAGCCAAAGAAATCGGAAGTAAGCTGTAACATAAGACCTTGTGCCGCAG